TAGAATGAAAACTTTAATGCAGCTGCCAGCTCTCTGGGCGCTGAACAATTTAGGAAGGCAATGCACACTTTTTCACAGTCAATGGCAGAGACCCAGACTTCCGTACTTCCCAGAAGATTAAAGGCTGCAGTGAAACACCTGTGGTTTGGATGCAGAGCTGCCCAGAGGCACCAAAGGAATGGCTGAGTCAATGCGCCGAGGGGCAGAGAACCCAGAGTTAGATGAAATTGTGATGGTTTCATTCTACCCTTGAAAGCTTTTTAGCAAAAGTAAGTCTCACTCAGACAATATATACCGAGCCTCTTAATCAGGAGTAGAAGGTTTTTCACAGCATATCTGAACTCTAAATCCTTGCTTGTCTCCTAACCACACCATATAGAAAACTACATCATTATTCCAACCACATGCCTTAATTAAAGAGATAAATGGAATCTCTTTCTATAGAATGTCCTGTAACATACTCCTAGCACCAGCCAAATTGATGGCTTTATTCAATAAGTATTATTGTAAATTATGCTTGCTTGTGAATGAACACATGAGGGGTTTGACTTTTCCAAAAAGTAGGTCTGGTCTCTACCTCTTTGGCACAGACTTCAGCCAGTTCATAAATTTGCGCCAGAGAGACCACCTTTTTTTATACAAGCCTTGTTCTTTTTGTGAATGTACTCATAGAATACTGTTATTCATAATTTTAATCTGAAGATACACTTCAGCAATCATTTTCAAATATAGAAATAATAACAAAAATGATAAAGTATCTCGAATGTACTTAGTGATACTTTGTACATGGCAACAATTTCTGTGCATCCAGTCGTGTATGTTACTTGCTTCGCCAGTATCAGGTAGACATTATTACACTAGTTTAAAGGATGAGAAGATAAAAGACACAAAAATGAAGGGTTTTCACATAGGTGATTTATATTTATTCTCTTCTCTGTGTGAATGTGGTCTCCAAAAAGGAGACCAGGAGTCTTTCAAACATGAGGCATAGTATAGAAATATACATTCTCAGGTTCTACGCACTATTTAACCAGAATATCTGGGACTGGAGTACTCTAATCTGAGATACAACATGCTATGCATGCAATTAGGAAATTTACTGAAATTTAAGAACATGAAACCCCTGTTCCATGTGTGATCAAGTAGTACTTTCTAGGAAAAATTTACCCAGGAACAGAGAAATAAAATCCATAGGTTAGGTAATCTTAAAGAAAGATACATATTTTTATAGACATTGCTCTTCATAGAAAATTATTCTAATAATAATTATTTTAGTAACTGTAGTCACCGTAAGTATCTCCAGGTCAGGTGTCTTAGATTATTCATGTACTGCTTCTCTCATGTGCCCTGATTCACTGAGAAGCAAAATCCATGAGAAAATTTATTGAACTGAGTTGAACTGCTTTCTAGTAGCCTCAGTTTTCCCTGTGTGTGCTCAAAGTTGCAAGTGACAGTGTGCTAAATTCAGTCAGGAAGTAATGGAAGTCATACACACATAATACACATATACACACACATACACACATATATACGTTCTTATGTGTGTGTGTGAATATATACATACATACATACATATAGGTGTGTATATAATCTCTGAAAAGACAAGGTAATTAATATGATGATGGACCACTCTTTGTGTTGTAGAGGGCATTTAGCAAATTCAGAAAACAGCAAGCAAAACAAATGTTCACCTCATGCAGTCTACTGCACTTATGTTATTTACATGTTCACCTATCACCGTGAAGTTCACACCAGTCAAGAAGTTCACCATCTCGTTGGGAAGACAAACAACCTAAGCATCCAGATGATGCTTAAGTTATAAATAACCATGATATATAGCTGAACTACAGTATGGAGCTCATAAAAGCTCTATAAACTGTTATTGCACTGAAGAACATTAGGGATGGAGTCGTCGGAACTTCAGAATACAGAAGAGCATCATATGCTGCTGCTTCTGCATATCTTTTTTATCACAGTGTCTGTTCAGATCTTGATTTTGATTAGTTAATCAAAATTAATGTTTTAGTGTTTCATAACACTAAAATGTTGTTAATGTTTAGTGTTTTATAACATCAAATTTTTCTCAGCTTTAGAGATAAACATAGCAACACCACCTCCCTCCCTATATCTTCAGGGTTTTTTGATATTCAAAGAAGAAGGAAGCTTTGTTAAAAATTAATTTCATGAATAAAATATTGTATACTACTGGTTTTCCAGGAGGTTACAATGTTAAGTAGAGTCAATCAACTTAACGGATTATCTCATGCGTTACCCTCTTGAATTTCCTTGGGAAAAAAAGGAAAGAATAGCCCTCAGACCATCAAGAAAATGCTAAGAACATGTATTCAACAAACCAGTTACATCTCTCAGAATTAAGGAAGAGATGCAGGCTATAACACAATTCACTGGACTTGAGAGATAGCTCATTTTTTAAGAGCACTTTCTCCTCTATCAGAGGATATAACTTCAATTTCTGTTGATGTGAGATGCCCCTCTATGTGCTGTGAATAGGTATTATTATCATTGGTTAATAAAGAAGCTAGTTTGACCTATGGTAGGACAGAATATAGCCTTGTGGGAAATCCAAACAGAGATACAGGAAAAAAAAAGGTGAAGTTGGAGAAACACCAACAGCAGCCAGAAGAGTACGATGCCAGAGCATTTTTGGTGAGCCACAGGGTACAAGGAAATTTATAGATTATTAAAACTGGGCTAATTTATGTGTAGAACTATCCAATAAGAACCGTGAGACATCAGCTAAATAACTATAGTTAATTTTAAGCCACAGAGTGGTTATTCGGGAACCAGTGGGCAGGAGAGAAACCTCCAGTTACATCCCATCACACACACTGGGCAGTCACAACTACCCAAAACTCTGACTTGTTCTTCTGATCTCCACAGTCATCCTAATATGTGTGTCCTACACTTAACACAAACACATATATGCACATACATGCACATACACATGCATTTATAAATGGACATTGACATGGACATGAATATGCACGTACATATAGATAATAAATAAAGTCTTTAAAAAATCATTTGGCAATGCATTTAAGAAGTTCTTGCAAACCTAAACCAAGTCTTTCAAAGAAAAAGATGTGTTATGCTTAAGAATTTGCTGCCCAGAATATTCCTGTAAACTGCAGAAGGAATTTTATACATATCCTTGAGTATTGGGCATTCTACTGGAAATACTTAACAAAAAACTGACTGGAACAAATACTTGTCAGTCTAGTATAGGAAGGCAGAATGAGCGGTTTGCTTAGTGAAAATCTGAGGAGGCTCAGAAAATTCTAGCAAATGTATCCTAGAGTCAATATTAAGATGGATGCTGTTTAACCTTTTGAAAAGCAAGATTCAGGGTACATAGCAATATGCTTGCTTAAGATGGTAAAATGTCCAATTTCAGTTTTGTGTCTTACATTTCCCTTAAAACATTGACAAAGATATATCTAGTCGTTAGGCAAAGATGGTGATTAAGGTTAAAATTATTGATAAAATCCTATTACAAGGGCAGGTATATAAGAAGTAGGTAGAAAACAGATGACAATAATTTTACAGATTACAATCTTGGTGTGGAAAGCAAACTCACTTGCTGGAATTTTATTTTCACTACTAAGAATCAAATAACTGGTTATAAGAATTGAATGCAAAAATCACTAGAATACTTGGCATAGCATGTCTTATAGAAGATTAGACCAGGAATTAAAATATTACCATGTCATAGGCAACTTGTTTGCACAATCACAATAATTAACTACCATAGTATCTTTATTAATGCATATGTGTTATCAGGTCTAACATCTTCATGTAGTGGGTGTGAGAGGTCCTTCAGTCTTTGTGTTGCCTTTATTGGTTAATGAATAAAGAACTGCTTTGAGCCTATGACAAAGACAGAACAGAACTTGGTGGTAAAGGTTAGGCTGTATGCTAAGAGAAAGAGGGTGGAGTCATAGAGAAGCCGTGAAGCTACCTGAGATAGATGCTGGGAACTTTAGCCTGTCAGCCACAGCCACGTGGCAATATACAGGTTAATAGCCAATAGGAAGCTAGAGCAGTGATTTAATTAATATGGTTTCTGTGTAATTATTTTGGGGCGAAGTGGCCGGGAACCAATAAGTGGCTCCCCCTCCTTCCAACATGTGGTATTAAAGACACAGTGGTCTTACTAGAATAAACTACTTAACTCTATCATATATTAGCAATTTTCTGTTTAAGTTTCTTTGAAAACCTCAGATGATATATTTTTGTTTGTGTCAGAGAAAGCCTGAAATCTGTACAAAACTTCTATATTATTACGAATTTTTTACAGAGACAAATCAATTCTTTTACATTTATGAGAATAGCTAGAAATCAAATTTATCGATGTTTAGTTTTGCCCTTCAAGACTTTATAGTTCCAGAAGTCTAAAAGATGAAGAAATAACTCATGCCATCTCCCGGACTATAATACATATTATTTCTATGGACCTGAAATAATGGTATGCTCTCTACTCTCTGTTTTAAAATATAAATCTTCACGTTTTTCCCTTACATTAACTTATCTTCTAGCCTTGTCTTCTATGAAATATATAGGTATTCTAGACTTTATAGATTTTTATAAGTAGAAAACAAACTACCCTATGAGTATATTAAAGATAATTATCTATTTATTATGTGTGTTTTTCAGGGTGGGGCATTATGTGTGCATACACAGTTCAGAGGACCAGCCTGCAGGAGTGTGTTCTCATCCCATCGTGTGACTCCCTGGGATGGAACTCCTGTCTGCAGACTTGGCATCCGATCTTTCTACTCGCTGAGCCATCTTGATGCCCCAGAGTGATGATATTTATACACTTTATAAAATTATCTAACAAGGATTTGGTAAAACTCATTTGAATTATATTTAGTTGGTAATAAATAGTGTGATCTGAAAACTATAGAGAGTTCTGTTTTAACACAGCCTTGTAATACCCATATATGTTTGTCGACTTGAGGACTTTCCGCACGATTTACCTTTGATTTCCTTGTCATTTTTGAACCATCTTATATCAGCTGCAGGTTTACTGCCGGATGTCTTACAAGTTAGCTGCATCAGGTCTCCCTCCATGACTGGCGATGAAAATCCACTAATCTGCGGCTTCTCTGGAACACCTAGAATTTAATCGAATAAGGAAAGTGAGTGTCAATCCCTAGGGATGACCTAATCTCTTGTATGATAAAATAAACTTCTTCAGATATAGTGCATATGCACACAATATCCGTAAAGAACTTTAAAATTTGTATATGCCAAAATAGAATATAAATACAAATTATAAAATTTCACCTCCAAAACAGTCTTTGTAAGCTTTAAGATACAACCATTCTAATGCCTTGTGGTTTACCATTACAGCAGTCTGAGAAGGTAGGGTGTCCTGGGTGATTTGAAAAAAACAGTGCCGTATATTTAAAATAAATTTTGTTTTCATGTGTATGGGAATGAATGTGTGCACATGGAAGGCTGCACAGATACCATGCTGGCATGTGGAAGTCATGAGAAAACCCATGTGTTTGTATGAGGCCGGGTCTTTCATGCTGTTAAACACTGTGATGGCTGCTCCATGCTAGTTGGTCCAAACACTTCCAAGAATTTTCCATCTTTGATTTCTATTTAGTTGCTGTAATGCTGGGTATTCAGGCCCATGCTATGTTAACTGCCTTTACAAGGGTCCTAATTATCCAAAGTCACGTGACCAGGCTTCTGCAAGAAGTGTTCTTACCTGCCAAACTATTTCTCAGTCTGAGTATCACACATTTTCTATGCTATATTATTCAGTTATTTACTTTGAGGTCTATTAAAATATCATGCAGCAGTATTCTACAATAAATGTTCAGTGAAGTTGTTCTCATTGTAGCACATTAATTTAATCTTGAGAAGATTAAAATGTAAGAATATTAGAAAATTCCACTATGAGAAATACAAAGTTAAACAACAAAGGAAAAAGAGAAATAAGCCTACTTCTCTTAAGTAGCTAGGTGGCCTGTGTATACTCACCTTTATAACCTTTAAAAAAAATCAATGCCATACCGCCATTTAATAAACTGTGCTCCTCAGTCAATTATTCTTTGAGTCTTGAGTTGGCTCTACAGAACAATGCATTAACCTTAGGCAATTGTTATCTGAAAACACTCCACTTTAGTGGATGTATCTTGTCCTTAACGGCAAACTTGTGAAGATTTTTATGAAATAGTTCCAGTGGGACTTGCAATGAAACATATTTCACATCCCAAGCACAGAACCAATTTGCTAGCTGGATTAACTTTAATATTCCTCTTCAAAAAGATGTTATGCATTGGCTATTTTAAATGCAACGCTGTGTCTTTATCTAAAAAGGAAGGCAAGCTAGGGGCAAAAGGGAAAAAAATCAATCTTTAAATTTCTCTAACTTGTTCAGTACACAGGTGCGTTTCAATGAACTGCAGCAATTTCAGCTGACTGGGGCACCGTGGAGTCGATGAGCTCTAAGCTGCAGCCTTATTTCCTCTGAATCTCTATGAATGCATTGCTTTTTCATGTCACTTTAACCTTTGGGAAAATGGCCTGATACTTAGAGAATAAAAGCCCAAGGAAGCTACAAGCTGCATGCACAAGTGACATTACGTACTTCATTTACGAATCTAGAAAATACACATTTTTTTCTTTTTTCAAATAGAGACACATGGAAATGTCAGGGCCATTTAAATGTACTATGGTACAAAAGGAGGTCGTTTCTGAAAGCCACAGGGTTATTAGGGGAGGTCTCCATCAGGTGACTCAGACAATAAGATGAAGAACAAACAAGTTAGAGTCATAGTGCTCAGGATTCTATCACTTTTTAAATGGCTCCAAATCACACAGCACATGCACAATTTTGTTATAAAATTTATCGGAAGAAAAACAGAAGAATAAACAGAAGAATAAACAAATGAAAGAAACAATCAAATAAAAATCAACAACAAAATAGTTACTTCCTAAGTAACAAAATGGCATTATGCTTTCTGGCATCCACTGTAACCTTTGTATCTCCCTTTGTCCATTTCTAAAATTAAAGCAACTAAGGGATTCTTCAATGTCTTTTTTTGTGAGGCAGCAATATATTAAATTATGCCTATTGATTTGATGTTCAATAAATATTTTCTGATTGAACTGTGTTGTACCAGCACACATCTTTCTGGGAGTGTGATTACAGAGTGTTAGACTCTAGTACTTACCCAGGACAGTGAGATAGGCCTTGGAAGTTTTGACAGGCATTGTAAATAAGGAGCAGGTGTACTGCCCTTCATCAGACAGAGACACATCACTGACACTGATGCTCAATTCATGCCAGGAAGCGCGAACCAGCTCGATCCTATTGTCCCTTAAAGCTGAAAAAAAAATATTGAAAACATCAATAACACATATAAATAAGCATATTTATAGATACAATATATTTTGACCACAATATAATGAATATTTTATTTAACTATTCATTGAACTTTTATACCTTGAAACACATTAAAGGATATTTTAAGTATATGTATACATATATTATATATTATATTATTGTATATACTATAACATTGTAAATAGTTTAAAAGACAACAATTAAGAGCCCTTTAATATTCAAATTATATGACAAAATCCTAAGTGCGAATGAGGTTGATGGTGATAAAAATTATTTCTTTCACATTACTTTTAAAAGAATGAATACTAGTGGCAAAAAAAGAAAATGAATGACAGATACATCTGGGGAACTGGGATTGTTAACAGTACTCCAAAATATGAACAAAAATTTTTGTGTATTAGAAAATCATCCCTGTCATAGAGACACTAACTGAACAATATTTATACCAGAACTGTCAATTACCTGAAAATTACCAGTGGCTTACTTACCTGTTGCCTACATTTGCACTGATTGGGTAGTGTACTATGATAATATATTTCTAGGTTAAAATCACTTTTCTTTTACAGCTATTTCTAGAGTATCTGTTAGAATCTTACAGAGTTTGTACCTTTTCATTCAGCTGGCTGGGAAAAATGAAAGTTTATTGTGTTCATCATTAAGAATAGCAATGCAGTCTAGAAGCAGGTGAGAGACAGTTAAGAGTTTTCTTACTGACAACCAGCTTCAGAAAGCAACTCCATCTCCCCTGTGCCTTGTGCCTTGTCCCCATTAGACAACGGAACATCGTCAGTCCAATGCTGGGATCCCTTGCATCACCTTCACTACCAGGCTGTCTTTCTGGGGGAATATCTGCTTTCTAAAGTGACAGGTCTAAGGGAGGAATTAACGTTGACTTGTGTGTACCCAACACAAGTCTATTGGGCCAGACAGCACAACAAAGCCTTACAGAAACTGTGCTCTTCCGAGAAGCATACATACATGATAGATGACTGCAAAGCAGAACCTGCTTGCTATTCCAGAATCATGCTGAATGCACCTAGAAATAATCCTCTGCACCAAAAGCACCCAGCTTTATCTTTTAGCAGACAAAGATTCCAGGGCCAAGTTCATGAGGTAGTCACTTCCATTTTCTATTCTATGGCTATGGTTATCTATAGGATTTATACTCTTCACAGGATTTAGAATCCCTGAGGAGACATATCTCAGTATATTACTGTGAGGGATTATTTTAGGTTAGTTGAGGTAGAATGACCCAGGTTTACCATGTGAGGCACCACCCCTTAGGCTGATGGCCTCTACTGAATAAAAGGGGAAAAGTCAGCTGAGGATGTCTGTGATCTCGGACTGTGATGCAATGCGCCAGCTGCCTTTTTGTCCTACTGTCGTTCTTTACCCTTCTTTACCCGATTACTATATCCCCGGAGCTGTAAGTCAAAATAAACACATTCTTCTTCAAGTTTCTTTTGTCAAGTATTTTTATGACAACAGTGAGGCAAGGAAGAAGACACTGACTACAACAAATACTGAGAAAATAATACATTTTATGAGGAGTGTAATCAAGGAACCAATACTGAGAAGAATCAGATATTGTGGTTTCTGACAAAGATCTTAAAACAGTCACCATGTGAAATATTAAATCCAGGTCAAAATACATTAAAATTAAACTCCAGTTTAAAATAAAGCTTGCCTGAAAGTCAGAGATTAAAAGAGCTGCACTGACAGTCTTTCAAACCAGACAGTGGTTGCCCACACTTTTAATCTCAGTAGCCACACTAGTTTTCTGTAAAGACCAGGCAGTAGCGGCACACACCTTTAATTCAAGCACTAGAGAGGAATATAAAATGGGAGGAGACAGGTTTCAGCTCAGCCTCAGAGGAATATAAAACGGGAGGAGACAGGTTTCAGCTCAGCCTCATTCTGAGGATTCCTGAAAGCAGAGCAGTCATTTTTGAATTGAGGTAGATGTAAGAGCTAGTGGCTGGCCGCTTTGTATTTCTAGCCTTCAGGTTGAACCACAGTATCTGTCTCTACATTTTAGCTAATCATGCTACAGTCATGACTCTATCCATATCTGAATCATAGTTGTTAATGATGGTGGAGCAAATGCAAGAATTCAAAAGGTAGCAAAAAAATGAGGTTGTTAAAAAATCATAATAAATAAAAAATCAAACCAGTCTGTATGTCCAGTAACAGATCACTGCATAAAAATATAAAATTTATATTCAAATGCATATGTATATACAATGTAATTTATGTAGCCCTTAATATAAATGAAATCATAGGATTTTCAAAAAAAGACACAATTTTAAGTCATATTCTAGAATGTTGCTTTAAGATGTGGTGTGGAAGATCCTTCTATGTGTTGCTTTTATTGGTTAATGAATAAAGAACTACTTTGAGCCTATGGGCAAAGGGCAGAACAGAACTAAGTGGGAAAAACTAGACTGAAGGCTGGGAGAAAGAAGGGTGGAGTCAGAGAGAAGTGATGGAGACGCTGGAGACAGATGCTGGGAACTTTACCCAGTAAGTCACATCACATGGCCATACACAGATTAATAGATATGGGTAAAATTCAGATGTAAGCATTATGCTGACAAAATTGGGAGCATGGGGGCAGAGAGGTTAGGAGGAAGGGGAGTAGGGGAGGGTTGAGAAGAACTTGAGGGAATGGGATAGATGAGATGGAGGAAGGACAGGTATGAGAAAAAGGAAAGATATATCTTTATTGAAGAAGCCATTATGGGGTTAGCAAGAAATATGGCTCTAGAAAAATTCCCAGAAATCCACAAGGATGACTCCAACTAAAACCCTAAGCAAAAGTGGAGAAGGTGCCTGAACTGGTCTTGCCCTGTAGTCAAGCTGATGTATATATTTTTCTTTGAGTTCACCTTATTACTTAGCTTCTCTAGAATCATAAACTATAGACCCAATGTCCTTTGTTTATAGCTACTATCCAATTGTGAGTAAGTATATACCATATTCATCTATTTGGGTCTGGGTTACTTCACTCAGGATAGTATTTTTTAACGCCATCAAATTGCATGCAAAATTCAAGATGTTATTTTTTTTACCACTAGTAGTACGTTAATGTGTAAATGTACAACATTTTTTTTAATTCATTCTTCAGTAGAGGAGCATCTAGGTTGTTTCCAGGTTCTAGTTATTACAAGCAATGCTGCTATGAACATAGTTGAATACATGCTTTTGTACTATGATTGAGAATCTATTGGGTATATGCTCAAGTGGTATTGCTGGATCCTGAAGTAAGTTGATTCTCAATTTCTGAGAAAGGGCCATACTGATTTGCAAAGCAGTTGTACAAGTTTGCAATTCCACTAGCAATGGATGAGTGATCCCCTTACTCCACATCCTCTCCAGCATGAGCTATATTAATGTTTTTGATCTTATCCATTCTGACAGGTTAAGATGGTATCTCAGAGTTGTTTTGATTTACATTTCCCTTATAAATAAAAATGTTGAACAGTTCCTTAAATATCTTTTGGCCATTTGAGATTCTTCTGTTGAGAATTCTCTGTTTAGTTCAGTACCCCATTTTTTAATTGGGCTATTCAGAATTTTAATGTCTAATTTCTTGAGTTCTTTATATATTTTGGAGATCAGTCCTTTGTCTGATATAGGGTTGATGGAGGAGAAGAGAATGGGAGAGGGGTGAGTAAAGAAGAACTTGAGGGAATGGGATAGTAGAGATGGGGAAGGGCAGAGATAAGAACAAAGAGAGAGATATCTTGATTAAAGGAGTCATTATAATGTTAGCAGAAACCTGGCACTAGAAAAATTCCCAAGAATCCAAAAGGATGACCCCACCTAGGACCCTGGATAATAGAGGAGAGGGGGCCTAATCTTAACTTGCCCTGTAGTCAGACTAATGATTATTTTAAATATCACCATAAAGCCTTCATCTAGAAACTGATGAAAGCAGAGGCAGAGACACATATCGAAGCACTGGACTCAGCTCCAAAGTTCAGTTGAAGAAATCTAAAATCCAGGTTAATATTCATTAAAATTAACTAAATTTCAAAAATATTTAGAAGAAAATAGTAACACTAAATTGTTTGGTGCATAAACACATAAACCTCCATAATTAAACCCTGTGTTTGGACTACAACCTGAACTGCTGGGCTATACCTACCTGTGCACACACCTAGATACATGCGCAGACACAAGACTCTGGAGCAGGGGCTTGCCACCTCCCCAGTGCTGCAAGATTTTCATGCAGTACCTAGGATTGTGGTGACCACAACCATAAAATCATTTGTTGCTTCTTCTTAACTGTAATTTGCCATTGTGAATGGTGAAACAAATATCAGATAGGTGATCCCAATGGGACAAGGATCCTCATATTGAGAATACTGTTCAAGAGGATAATGGTTGGTTTTCTCTCATCTTATATAGTCAGAAGGAATCAATGGGAACAGGTGATATTTAAACTGTTTTAAAATAAACTTAAAGTGACAATTTGAAAATATTTTGAGTTTGGAGTCTTGGCCATAAACTAGATATTTTAATTCCTATGATGCTTTAGTCAGTTCATTTACTGAATATGTTTAGCATTTTAAAGCTTTGATTGCATTTGCTATACAAAATTTACTACTTTGGACTATTAGAACTAAGCTCTAAAACAAAAAGTAATGGAAACTTAATGTCAGTTTTGTTATTTACCAATGAATTTGAGAAATTAATTCTCTACAACATTATTTGCCTATCTGCTTTGTTTTTAAGCTAAAACTAATAATGGCAGTGAAAGACGGAAAAAATAAAGCTAATATAGTACTTCAGAACTGATACACATGGATATATATCCACTGGTAAATGTATAATTGCTCAAAACTAAACAGTGTTATGATCTGCACCACCATCCCACCAGCACCCCTCTTTAGAAGGGTCACTCTGTAGACCAGGCTGGCTCTAAGCAAGTACCAATCCTCCAGGCTCTCTGGTTGGGAATGTTGATTTGTCATC